ACAGGTACCTGTGTTTCCCAGAATAATGTTCTTCCTTCTCTTCCTACTTGTTTTTTGACACATGAAAGCCACCTTTTTAAAATATGGGCTTCCCTTGTGGCTCAACTGGTAAAGAATCTGCCTGCAATGCAGGAGACCTGGGTTCGATCCCTTGGAGAAGGGAAAAGCCACCCACTCCAGTATTCTGGCCTGGCTAATTCCACGGACTGTAGAGTCCATGGGGTCGCAAAGAGTCGGACACGACTGAGCAACTTTCACATTTCACTTTTGAAAACGCTGAGGGAGTTTCCTGGGAGCCTAGTGGTTAGGATTTGGCACTTTTACCGCAGAGGCTGGAGTTCAGCCCCTGGTCAGGGAACTGAGATCCTGCAAGCTGCATGGTGCTGCCAAAAGAAAAAAAATTTGAAGTTATAGTTTATTATATAAGTTTTGGGTGTATGACATAGTCATTCACGAAATCTAAAGGTTATGTTTCATTTATAGTTATTATAAAATAGTGGGTATATTCCCTCTATTGTACTACATATCCTTGTATCTTATTTATTTTACTTAGTAGTTTGTGCCTCTTTCCCCTACCCTGTGAAAGACACCATTTTATAGTCTTTGGCTTCCACGTTCACATAACTTAAATGCTACTGGAGAAATTAAGATGGTCAATTGAATTGGCAGATGAGGCTTAGTTTGTGGAGTCCTGGGCTTCCCAGGTGGTGCTAGTGGTAAAGAATTTGCCTGCCAATACAGGAGATGTAAGAGACGTGAGTTCAATCCATGGGTCAGGAAGATCCCCTGGAGGAGGGCAGGGCAATCCATTCCACTATTGTTGCCTGGAGAATCCCAAGAACAGAGGAGGCTGGAGGGCTGTGGTTCATAGGGTTGCAAAAAGTTGGATACAACTGAAGCGACTTAGCAGAGCAGCTCAGGCTAGAACTACCAGGTGGCCTCATTAGAGGAGGTGTGTAGTGAGGGCACCAGGAATAACCAGGACCCCTGGTCTAACCTTGACTCTTCCCCTGGAGGATGAGTGACCATGGACTGGTCTTCCCGTGGGAGAGGCCCTCATCTCTGGCCTCCCTTGCCTGTATCATCAGTGTGTTGGACAAGCTGATTTTCTGTGAATCACATGGCTGCCTCGGGGGGGCTGCTTTGAGGGGCTGGCCTAGGGGCAACTGGTGACAGGGCTGAGGTCACTTTGACTTTTCACCGGGGCTGACCCAGCATTGAAAAAGAGCTCCTCCATGTCTGCCCCAAGGGGCTGCCCTAATTGGATGGAATCGTGGAAAGACTGTCATTTTCCCTGAAGTCCTCCTAGCTGCCTTACTTTCCGAGATGACGGAAGAGTGGCCTCTCCCGCCTAGGGATATGTTTCTAGAGAACTGACCCTGCAGGCATTTTAGGTTCTCTCATCGCAAACGCAGATGCTACTCCTGGGTTGAGGACTGCCCTTTGACTTTGTCCAGGTCGCCTTGGACAGAGCGGTCTGAGACCTTGATTTATGCAGGGGCTCTTGGTGCCAATGGACCCACGTGCCCTGCGGTCACATCATTCCTGGGCTTCATAGGGATTTGGGGAGCTCAAATTTATGGAGAAATAGATTCCTGGGCGGCTCTACCTCCGTCCTGAACTTTGGGATTCCAGAAAGGCACAGCTGCAGGAGGACTGAGAGATTTTCATGGCCTGCTCCTGACGTATCTTCCCAAGGTGTCTTTGTGATAAGACCCAAAGTTTCTTGGCCTGTTTCCATTTGTCTAGCTAGTAAAGTATTGCTTTTCGCCAGTCAGCTAGATGCTTTATGCTTATTCTGAACCTCATCACTCACAAATGTGTTCACATAAGCAGTCTCCTTTACTCCTCGTAACAGCCCTCTGGGGTGGGCATGAGAGAGCCTGAGCGATCCTGGGTGGGAGTCTTGCTTTAGGACCTCTTTCTTCTCCAAGGGCTGGAAATTAAAAATTTAAACCAGGAGGCCTAGAGTCAATTGTCGTTCGTACACCCAACTATATTTTGAGTGTCTTGTGATTTAGGACAACCTGACTGCCCACCCCCCAGGCAGAGGCTAAAGAAGGTTGGATTTAGGTGGGGGGGTACCTGATGATTTTATCGCCTAGGAGATCTATTTGCCTCTGAGAGAAACTTACTTCACCTCAATAGACCCCTGTGGTGGGACTCAGGGGCCTTCTCATCCAAAATTCAGGGTTTTCTTTGCTTCTGACCAATCAGCCTTTGTCTTCCGTCTGTCTGGCAGACCCTTTCCCGTTTCCAGCCATCTTCTCAACATCTCCACCTGGGACCCAGTGGCCTCCAAGACTGTCCTCTCCTGCCTCATCCCTGTGATAAAACCAGAGCTCTGTCCCCTCCTTGCCCCTCACCTCCAAGTCTTCGCTTACATCTACGCTGGGATCGGAGTGATCTTTCTCCCTTTTCCACGTGGCCAATTTAAGGTTCAGCTTCAACTGTCTCCTCTCTAGGAAATCACCTCTTGACCACCCCCGTCAAAACATCCCTTGCATCTGCCATCCAGGCACATCACTCCTGGTTTCACAGTTACCCATTTACATGTCTGTTTCCCCAAACTGTGGGCATCTTGAGGGCCTGGACCATTCACTTTATTTTCTTTGTAGGATTGATTGCTATCTGCAAGTTTGTTTTTAATTCTTTTGAATATATTTATCATCTCAGCTTCTCATGCCAGGGGTCAAGAACCACGTCTTTCTTGTTCACTGTTATGTCCCCAGCATCTGGCACAGTGGCTGGTACCCAAATGGTGGCCAGTAAGCATTTAATGAGTGAACAAATTCGTCTTTGTTTCCAAAGTGCCTGGCTTGGGACCTAGCACACAGGAGGTATGTGGTCAATATTGGTTGAATGAAGGAGTAAATAAAAATATAGGATGAGCTGTCCCTGTTCTTCATAGAAGGTGGCAAGGGAGGCTGGGCTTGAGGGTGGGTGGCTGGGGGAGGAGGGAGCCCCCTGGAGGCCCAGGCAGCTTTTATCTCTGGGCCAGGACTTGGGCAAAGTGAGTGCATGGCATTTACAGTGGTGAAAAAAAAAACACAAAAAAAACTCAGTCATTAAGATATATTTTAATGCACTATTAAAAATGCAAAAATGTCACAACTGAAACATCAACATTCTAAGTAAAGACAGCATTCTTCAAGAAAAACTAGTGAACTGAATCAGTCAAGGGAGCTGGGAGCAATTCACCCTGGTTCCTTTTTGCCCTGGTGAAGACCAGAGACCACTCTTTCTTGACTTAATTTCAGTAACTTCTCCACTGTGTCTCAGTCTTGCTGACCCCTGTTTGTTTCCTTGTGGTTAGAACCAGAGAACTTTTAGGACACATCAAAGTGGTTGGGTGCTTTTTCAAGGACCAGGGTGAAGGAAGGCGTGGGCGTGGGTGGGCAGGAATGGAGGGAGAAAGTGGTGATGGCGATCACAGCCCAGGCCTCCAGCTGATCCGGCTGTCTCATCTACAGGGAGGCCTTGGGTGCCCGGGGACAGCGGGACAGCCTTACAGAGAGGCTGGGGGCTGAGACAGTAGGAGAGTGTTGCCTTCTTTCCCTTCAGCTGGGGAAAGAATCCCTTCCGTGGAGCCCTGCAAGCAGGCCTGCCACCACTGTGAGATTTGCAACCATCTGGGCTCCTCCAAGTATACCCCAGCTCTCTGCCTGGGGTCTTTTTCTTCCAGGAAGCTGCTTAATTTGTCACTGTGGGGCTCTATGGAGAAGAAGAGGCAAAAACTGCCCCCCAGAACTGGAATGGACATAGTAGGGAAAACAGAATGCTGGCGGGGGGACTTCCCTGGTGGTCCAGAGGTTCAGAGCTGCCTTTCACCGTGGGGGATGCGGTGCGATCTCCTGTTGGGGAGCTAAGATCCCCTGCGCCTGGAGCAGCCACTCCTGAGCGCTGCAGCTGCTGAGCCCGCGTGCCACAGCGGAGACTCAGCGCAGACAGGTGGACAGATAAGAGTACAAAAATAAACTTGGAACGGACTACCATTCACTGAAGGCTCAGATGATGGTTAACATTAAAAAAAAGAGAATGCCGTTGGCCACCTGGCCTCCATCTCCAGCCCCCGACCCTGGCTGCCTGCGCTTACTCTCCGAGGAGCCCTTCTCCCTCCGCCAGGTCACTCAGGGCTCATCCCCACTGCCGCTCGGGGTGCCAGGGGGGCGACGAGGGGGCTGCTGCCGCTGCTCATCGTCACTGCCGCTCCGGGCGCCAAGGCAGGCGACGAGGGGGCTGCTGCCGCTGCGCAGCCGCACAGCCGCACGGGGCGCCAGGGCAGGCGACGAGGGGGCTGCTGCCGCTGCGCCGCTGCTCATCCTCACTGCCGCATTAAGAAGACTTAACTGCGTCCCAGGACCTTTACAGAGCAGCTCAGGTGCGTTCTCTCTCTTTGATCATGAAGTAGGGATTTTTGTCCTCAACAGTTGAGGCAGCTGAATCCCAGAGAGGGCCACCAACTCACCCTGAGTCACACAGCCAGGAGGCGAGCATCTTCTGTTGGGAGCTGGGTTGGCTGTGGACTTGCCCCCACGGCCCTCGGGAGCCCAGCGGTTGCAGGCCCTCTGCTTGACCCGCAGAGGGCGCTCCTGCCGCACAGACCGACCCAGGGCTCGCCCAGCCCCTTCCACTCTGCCCTTAGAAAGGGCTCATCTCAGCCCTCCTCCCTTCAACTCTCACCGTGCAAGGAGCCTGCTCACAATATTCTGAGTGGGATGGGGACAACCATATGCTACAGACGTCTCCAGTTTCATGAGCGGACTCTATGGAACTCCCGGAGCAAAAGTCACGAGCCACCCCCACTCCAGATGGGGCCGTGTTTCGCACAGCTGAAGTCAGCTCAGCTGCTGGACTTAGCAAGTGGCCCGAGGGCTTCCGGGGACTGTCCCGGGGCTGGGCCCTGCTGCGCCACACACAGGCACAGGCACGCAACGAGAGCTCGTTTACTCCGCTCCCTGGGTCTCCTCTCTGCCTGGCACATCGCCAGCATGCTCAGATTAGCCGTGAACTTGATCCTCTGGCTGTGTGTGGGCGTGTGCTTTTTAAACACGGCATGTGATAAAACTCCCTTTCCAGCTGAATCTGAATTTTGAACACCCCTTACATGGCTCAGAGACAGCGCCAGGTAATTGAAACGCAAAAAAGGGAATGGTGGTGAATATGCATTTGCTGTGGCTAGATATTGGCTTGCTGAAAGCAAATCAGAAGAATGCAGAATGTTAAAAGCAAGTTGAGCGAATTCCTGGCGGTCCAGTGGTTAAGATTCTGCTCCCAATGCAGAGGGTATGGGTTTGATCCCTGGTGGTGGAACTGCCCACATGCTGTGCAATTCGGCTAGAAAAAAAAAAAAAAGCAAGACAGGCAGGAAGATGACATGGTTATGTTGAAGACCTTTGGGAGATTCGGCTCCTGTTATATCAGACATCATTATGTGACCTTCAGCAGGTTACTCCTGCGCAGTCGTTTCCTATTGTGTAAAATGGGGTCAAGAATAATACTCTCCTCACGGGGAGGAGAGTAAATGAATTAGTATCAGTAAGGAGCTACCAGTCTTAAACTGGTGTTGGGAAGCCCAGGTTGTGGGGCAGAAAAAAGAATTATTAGGGGGAAGAGACTGCTAGTCAGGATGGGGAGATTTCAGCATAAATAAGATGCCAAGGGTTTCAGGCAGCTTTAAAAATATTTAAAAATATACATGTAATTAAATTCTCACTATGTAAGAATTTCAAGCAACACAGATAAAGTTTAAATCCCCTCCTTCACACTTCTTTTTCCCAGAAGTGATTACTATTGTCAGTTTCATGGGATTGCTCCTGTATCTTTTTCTTTGCATATGTATATACATATGTATTTCTAGAGAAATCCATGGTTTTGCTTGACTTTGAAAAAGCATATTTCTTTCTTTGTTTTTGCCTGGGCTCGCTCTTCGTTGCTCCACACGTGTTTTCTCCAGCTGTGGCGAGCCGGGCTGCTATCTAGTTGTGGTGCATGGGCTGCTCATTGCTGTGGCTTCTTCTTTGTTCCTTTTTGTTTTTTGGCAGGACGCAGCCTCTAGTCATGTGGGCTTCAGTGGTTGCAGTCCCCAGGCTTAACTGCCCCTCGGTACGTGGGATCTTAGTTCCAGACCAGGGATCAAACCTGTGTCTCCTGCAACGGCAGGTGGGTACTCAACCCCTGGACCACCAGGGAAGTCCCAGACTTTTTTTTTTTTAATACCAACATCAAGTGTTCTGTCTTGGAGCTCTTTCCTTGTCAGTACACATAGTACTTATGTTAAGTGTTGCAAAATATGTAAATGTGGGGATGTACAATGGTTTGATCATTCCTCAGGTAGTTTCTTTTATTTATTTATTTATTTTTTAAATTTATTTTTATTAGTTGGAGGCTAATTAGTTTACAATATTGAAGTGGGTTTTGTCATACATTGACATGAATCAGCCAGGGTGGTTTCTTAATAGCAATGAAGATATACCTGTTACTGCACTCTTCCTGAAATACAGAATCAGTCTGGTGGCCGCAGCTGCCGTTGCTGCGGGGCTCCCACTGGTCAAAGCCTAGTGTTTCCAGGGTGACTTCAGGCTACACCTCTGCCATTCTCTGTGGTCACTGTTTCTTAAACCTGTCATCCCCTCCACCTCTGTGTTCCTGTTCAGCTTGGCGGCCTTCCCTTCCTCCTCTGCCCAGTCCTTCCTCCCTACATTCACTCATCCTGGCTCAGCTGAACATCAGGGCTGCCCTCGGCCACTCCCGCAGTGGGAAATAATTGTGAGTGTGTGTGCATATGACTCCACAGCGTCTGTGCCTGTTCGTCCTCCGTTCAGCAAGTGTTTATCAAGTGGCTACTCTATCGTTTTGCCTCTTTGCTCTGCTGTCTCCCTGACTCTCAGTTCCTTGAGGGATGAGATCATGTCTCAGACACAGGTTCCCATGGAGAACAGACATTCTGGTTTGCTCAGCATGGTTCCAATTTTCACCTGTTAAACTGGTAGGATTATTACTGTTGTTGTTCTTCAGTGGCTAACTTGTGTCCCATTCTTTGCCACCCCATGGACTGCAGTATGCCAGCCTCCTCTGTCTTCCACTGTTTCCTGGAATTTGCTCAAATTCATGTGCACTGAGTCAGCGATGGTAACTAACCATCTCATCCTCTGCCGCCCCCTTCTCCTTTAATCTTTCCCAGCACCAGGGTCTTTTCCAACGAGTCAACTCTTTGAATCAGGCAGCCAAAATATTGGAGCTTCAGCTTCAGCCACAGATCTCCCAATGAATACTCAGAGTTGACTGGTTTGATCCTTTCAGTCCAAGGGATTCTCAAGAGTCTTCTCCAGCACCACAATTTGAAAGCCTCAATTTTTCAGCACTTAGCATTCCTTATGGTCCAACTCTCATTCTGGTTTAGATGAAATACTATCTGATCACTCTAGTTTTACACACAACAGATGCATCAACAGTCAATATCAACAAAAAAAATGAATGAGTGGATAAATGAATTTAATTTGTTTTTCATGATTTTGAGGTGCCACTCAACAGAGTGGAAGACTTGAGAGCACATTCTGTATTGTTCAGTCTCCCAATTGTCATTGCGATCCCATGGACTGCAGCATGCCAGGCCTCTCTGTTCCTCCCCATCTCCCGGGGTTGCCCAAGTTCATGTCCATTGCATCGGTGATGCCATCCAACCATCTCATCCTCTGTCTCCCTCTTCTCCTTCTGCCCTTGATCTTTCCCAGCATCAGGGGCTTTTCCAGTGAGTCAGCTGTTCCCATCAGATGATCAAAATACTAGAGTTTCAGCCTCAGCATCAGTCCTTCCAATGAATATTAGGGAGTGATTTCCATTAGGATGGACTGGTTGGATCTCCTTGCAGTCCAAGGGACTCTCAGGAGTCCTCTCCACACCACAGTTCAGAGGCATCAATTCCTCGGCGCTCTGCCTTCTTTATGGTCCAGCTCTCCCAATTGTACATGACCACTGGGAAGACCATGGCCTTGACTATATGGACCATGATCCATTCTGTACTATGTAGAGGTTATTTCACTCCGGACTCCACTGTCTTTGAAGGGTTTTGTTGTTACTCAGTTGCTGTCGTGTCCGACTCTTTGTGACCCCATGGACTGCAGCACGCCAGGCTTCGCTGTCCATCACCAACTCCCAGAGCTTGCTCAAACTCATGTCCATTGAGTCAGTGATATCCTCTAGGAATCCTATTATCTCCAGAAACTTGTTTGCAGGTGTTCTTGTTATAAGATTCTAATAGTTTCTCTAGTATGCTGAAAAATGACGGGTGCAAAGGCAACGTTTATTTATTAAAAGGATGGTGATGCTACTGAGTGAAGTAAGTCATACAGAGGAGGAGAAATATTGTATGACATCCCTTATATGTGGGATCTAAAAAGAAATTATAGAGATGGGCTTACTTACTAAACAGAAAGAGACGCATAGGCTTAGAGAACGAACTTATGGTTGTCAGAGTGGGGTAAGGGATAGTTAGGGAGTTTGTGATGGTCGTGTATATACACTGAATTTAAAATGGATAACCAACAAGGACCTACTGTACAGCACATGGAACTCTGCTCAATGTTATGTGGCGGCCTGGATGGGAGGGGAGTTTGGGGAGAAATGGATACATGTATATGTATGGAAGAATCCCTTAGCTGTTTGCCTGAAATTATCACAACATTGTTAATAGGCTCTACCCCAATACAAAATAAAAAAGTTTATTATTTTTTTTAAAGAATGACTCATTGAACTTTAGTTAGAAAGTTGTTCCTAAGATGCAATAGTCAAGAGCGGCAGTTCAGCCTGTGGGCTCCGGAGTCAGATACCTGAGTGCGTCAGGGTTCGGCTGCTTCCTGCGGTGTAAACTGGAACAAGTCACTTCTTTGCTGAGCCCCAGTTTTCTCATCTATAAAGTGGGGATAATAACCTTGCTGTGGCACAAATAGAAATGAGACTTTTCTTTAAATGAGGAAACAGTAAACTGGCTGGGGAAACAACATAAACAGGCTTGAGAGAGTTAGGCAATCTTGGTTATTCTTTAGCTACTACCACTAACAAGGAGATCCAACCAGCCCATCCTAAAGGAAATCAGTCCTGAATATTCATTGGAAGGACTGATGCTGAAGCTGAAGCTCCAATACTTTGGCCACCTGATGTAAAGAGTCAATCCATTGGAAAAGACCCTGATGCTGGGAAAGATTGAAGGCAAGGGATAAGGGGGCCTCAGAGGATGAGATGCTTGGATGGCATCACTGACTCATTGGACATGAGTTTGAGCAAACTCCAGGAGATAGTGAAGGACAGGGAAGCCTGGTGCACTGCAGTCCATGGGGTCACATGGAGTTGGACATGACTGAGTGAGCGAACAACAACTAACAAACACTCACAGCTGGACTTGCCCTTCCCAAAGCTAATCACACTCTGATTCCATCTGAAATGTACTCTGCACCTGACATTCTTCTCTGCCTGCACTCTCTTGTAGTATTTTTCATTTCAGAAAGAAGACCACAGGCCGCTAACTTCATAAAAGACCACCTCCAGTTACCAAGTTGCCTGATGCCAACCATGGCTGTTTTGAAATTTTGCAAAAGGAAAAAAAAAAGCAAGAACCTCATGAAGATATGAAAGCAGGGAGCGGGGGCACAGTTGTTGAGGCGCTAGCCGGCTGTGTTTCCCCTTTGCCTGGAAGAGAATAAAGTTACTACTCTTTTTTCCTCCAGACTCTGTCTCTGTGTTTCTACTTGGCATCAGTGGACAGTGACCAAAATTCTGGCATCAACCTCACAGCTCTGTTGTGAGAATTAGATGAGGTAATGAATGTGAACTGTTAGGCTGAACCATATGAAGCCATCTCTATTTGACCCTTATCAGCTTTAAAATGGCATATCACATAGTTTAACATGGCAGGTGCCTGGTAGGCAATCAGCATTTGAGAAACGGTGGCCAATACTGCAAGCCTGGGACCTGGGGCCCTCTGCTGTGAAGCTTGCACCTGGACACACCTCTCTTCCAGTTATAAAACACGAAGCAACGGTATGGAACTGAAAATTGTGTGCATGTGCAGCTGGGGGAAAGTCTGGACCTAAAGAAACAACCCCCCCGACCCACCCGCCAAAACCCAACTGCCATTTCTGAAGAGCAAGGAACAAAAGCTGAAAGTTGGGAACAAAAGCAGGATACTGAGCTCGCCCCAACTCAACACCACCAAAGAGTGGGCAACCACCTAAGCCACACCCCCAGCCCACCCCTGGACACACCCTATCCTCACACCCCCGGGAAGGGAAGAAGCAAGGGGACCTGTTGCTTGTTTTCACTCCCTGCTGCAATCAGCACAAGAGTCTCAGTAAAGCCTTGCCTGAATTTCTTGTCTGACCTCTAGACAATTTCTGTTGATTGGAGAAGGCCAAGAACCCTGGTCAGTATCAATCTGACTCAATTGATATTTCGGCTTCTGTGGCCTAACTAAACAGGCATTTCATTCTTTCATTCAAAACACTTTCTGAGCACTGACTATTAAGAGACACTTGCTCCTTGGAAGAAAAGCTCTGACAAACCTAGACAGCATATTAAAAAGCAGAGACATTACTTTGCTGACAAAGGTCCGTCTAGTCAAGGCTGTGGTTTCTTCAGTGGTCACGTGTGGGTGTGAGAGTGAGAGCCAGTCCCTAGGCAGGTTGGTAAGAAGTCTGGGGTCCCCACGGAGGAGAAAGCGGTCTGCGGTTCTCGAGGAGGAGATAGGGCTCTGGAATTCTCAAGGAGGAGGAAAGGACAAACTTCTTCCCCTGTACGTTCCTTAGTCTTAGCCACATAAAACGGTTTTTCTTAAACCTGGAACTGATGCTTACACAGCTCAGTTTAAACGCTGTGCCAGGGGTTACATGACAGCAGTGTATCCTGCCTGAGGAAAGTTTCTCCTTCCTGAGAACCTTCTGACTAGTCCTGACATCTTAGAATGTATTTTATGGGAGTGGGTCTGGTAGGATCTATTAAACTCTAATCCTGTTATCCTAAAATGTAAATTGTGGGAGTGGGTCTGGTAAAATTTTCACAAGCTTGAAACATTCTTTTGATTTATTGTAGTAACTAATTTAAAAGTATACAACTCCCTTGCCAACACTCGCGAGGGGGACACTCACCGTCCCCCTTCTGAGGTCTCTGTCAGAAGCTTTCTCTGTCCCTTCTCTTTAATAAAACTCTGCTACACAAAAGCTCGAGTGATCGAGCCTGGGCCCTGGTCCTGAAGTTGCGTCTTCTTTGGAGGTCGTGGATCCGACACTGTCCACTGTCAGCTGCCCCCCTGGGGGCCCACAAAAGCTCGAGTGATCGAGCCTGGGCCCTGGTCCTGAAGTTGCGTCTTCTTTGGAGGTCATGGATCCGACACTGTCCACTGTCAGCTGCCCCCCTGGGGGCCCACAAAAGCTCGAGTGATCGAGCCTGGGCCCTGGTCCTGAAGTTGCGTCTTCTTTGGAGGTCATGGATCCGACACTGTCCACTGTCAGCTGCCCCCCTGGGGCCCATCCGGGGTCCTCAGGACAAGGTAAGGACACTCAGAGCGCCTCTGCTTTCTCAGTGTACACGCCTTCTGCTTTACTTTTTAACTCTTCTGTGTCCTTGTGTGAATGAATGACACGCCCTGTGCGAAGCAAGTGATGAGCCCTGCTCTGCGGTTTTGTGGTGCCTCGTAATGACTGAAGGCAGCCCCAAAAAGGGGAGCCTTGTCGGGGTTTATACTGACCTGCCAAGGCCAAGAGACACCCGAGGTCCCTGCTAGGGGAGCGGCCAGACACGGGCAAAGCATGTGGACTGAACTTCCCTTTCTCGGTCATCTTTTCCTGGTCTCTTTGACCATTTCATAATTGTGTGGGGAATTAGAACTACTAACCTAATCTGTCGGATCACAGACTTTCAAGGGAATTGTGATCCACGTTGTTACTACACACTTTTACTTAGACCCCATGTATGGAAGCACCTGGCGTTGCTAGGAGCCGAAAGTTACAGGAGCATGTTTGGAGAGAGGCGGAGCTCTGGCTCCAGGAATGTCTCTCAGGCTAGAGATCACCCTCTTGGCTGCCTGCCCCAGGGGCCAGCGACCTGAAAGTGAGTCTTTGTCGCGGCCTGTCTCCTATCCCTCTGGAGAGGAGCGCTGCTGCTGACCCTGAGGCTTCTGAGGACACAGATCTGGAATCGCAGGATCTGGTCAGCTTGGAAACGCAGTGGGCTCCCTCCTTTGGAAGCGCTGGCTCTTAGTGGGCCAGGGGAGGCTCCCTGACGACTTTTGTCTCAACTTCTCAGATATTCTTTCTGTGGAGTCTGTGGGGATGAACTGGAAGGACTGGCCCTAATAGCTTGGGAACAAAATCACTTCTTCCTTGCTGGCCAGCCCTCCACCACCTCTTTGCCATCACACCACTGGTGTGACACTCAGGACGGGCGTCTTGGTTGCCGTTTGTCCCTTGACGACTCACACGCTTCCCCGAGGAGTGCTAGCTTGGGGAACGTTCTGGGAAAGGTACCCTGCTCCACCCTAGGAAGCATCAGAAGAAAGGGGCAAATAAAAGGTTTTGGTGGTATGGAACTAAGTCAGTCTGGGATGCCATCAGGTCTACCCCTGGGGTATCTCCACCCCGCCTTGGTGATAGAACTGGGAGGGACGAATAAGATGCCTGCGTTGGTAACGGACAGACTAAGTCCAACCAGGGAAGGAAAGTTTCGTTGGAAAGTATGTCTACACTCCCATCTAGAGCAGGGGTCGGGACGCTTCTGGTGGAAAAAAGCCACGGCTGTGGATGCCGCTTTTCTCTTACAGATGGGAGCCAACAGTTCCAGAACCACTCCTTAACAATGTATTAAAAAAAAAAAAATGGACAAGTTCGATTCCCAGAATTTAAAAAGAGACGCCTGATCTTCTGTGATACTGAATCCTTTGGATTCACAGTATCCTTTGGAAGATGGGGAACACTGACCTGTTGAAGGATCTCAATTATTACAATTTTATACCTAGACTGGTTCTGTAGAAAATAAAGGAAATGGGTAGAAGTGCCTTGTGTGTTGTTCTTTATCTCTGTGGAGACAGGCCAGACTTACGTCCTCAGGGTGCAGATTTGGGTGTGAAACCTTCAGCTCCCTCCTGCTTTCTAACTTGGCCCCTGTATCCAGGGCTCCCAACTGAACAGGCTGAGAATCAGCGCACCCTTCCAGGACTGGTTGCCTCAGTCTCGGTAGAAATTCAAACAGTTCCAACTGCGGTCGAGACTATTTAGAGGATCCAGAAAAGTATATAGAAGCCTTTACGGGACTAACTTTACTTTATGACCTTACTTGAAGAGATGTAATGTATGTCTTAGGACAGACGCTGACTCCTGACTCAAAAATTTGACTTTTGGAGAAGCTAGTACTTTCGGAGATGAATGGCTTGAGCGTGAGGCAAGGGGAAAAAGGGAACATGAAATGACTCTCCTTCCTACTGGGAGCCAAGTGGTTCTAATAACAGTCACTTTGCCGGATGTATTCTTGAAGGACTTTAGCAAGCACATGCTGAGACTTTAGACTATGGTAAGTTGGCTGACACAGAGCAGGGAGAGAAGGAAACTCCTGATAAACTCCTAGATGGACTATGGAGGCTCTCCACAAGATTGCTGACATTGATCTTGAAAGTGCAGAAGGAGGAATGATCTTAAAAGATAGATTTCTCACTCAGTCAGCTCCAGATAACTGCAGTAAGTTATGAAAACATGCGTTTGGACCAAATCAGTCTTTAGATAATCTGTTGCAGCTGGCTCAGACTGCATATTATGAAAGAGAATATGAGGAGGAAAATAAGAGGAAAAAAATAACCAGGCAGAAAACTGATGCCCCTTCAATGGCTGTGAGACCTGCTCTGAAACAGCCTGAGAAAAATGCCCAGAGGGGCCCAGGTGAAAAGGGATGGGCTCGCTATTACTGTGGGAAGGAGGGGCACCTCAAGTGGGGTTGCCCTCAGGTATCTAAGCTGCCCCCAGCTCCATGTCTGGTCTGCAAGGGACCACACTGGAGGAGAGACTCCCCCAGAGGCGCAGGCCCCAGGGGTCAGGCTCTCAGGACAATCAGGAAGGTGCCCGGGCGTCCCCACGCACGCTCCCATCCTAATCACACCTGAGGAACCCCGGGTATCAATAACTGTGGGGGCAATCTGTCAGTTTCCTTTTGGACACTGGGGCAACTTTCTCTGTGCTCAATGAAGCCACTGGTCCGCTTCCCTCCCGGTCCAATACTGTAATGGGACAGTCTGGATGAGCCAAACATGATTGTCAGTCACCCTTTAAGCTGCAACTGGGACTCTGTGCCGTTTTCTCAGGAGTTTCTGATCGTGCCAGAGTCTCCCTCACCCCTTCTGGGGAGGGATATACTTAGCAAGGTCCAGGCCTCTTTTTTCATGAATATGGAGCCCGCTCTTCTTAATGAAACAGACTGTAAATCCTAGAGTGTGAGCTGACGAAAAAACTGTGGGTTGAGCACAAAATCCCGTTCCTGTCGTTATCAAGCTCAAAGACCCTCACCTATTTTCACATCAAAAGCAGTATCCACTAAAGCCCGAGGTTAAGGAATGGGCAAAACCCTTCTGTACTCACTTTTCAGGCTGTAAGTGGGATCTTAAACCCTAAAGTCCAAAACGACAATGGGTCCACCTTTAAAGCTGCTGTAACTCAAGGGGTGTCAAAAGTTCTAGGAATCGAAT